TGCTCCAATTTTATAGTGAGATGATTAAATTCAGAGCACGAGAGCGCTCAGCTCCTCAGCAGTACTGCACAGACGCAGATGTAAGGCAGACTGCTGCGCGACTTGTTTGACATCTTCTCACACTTTAACGGCAGCTGATACAGAGAACAATGATTCTGTTTGGGGTTTTTTTTTTTGGTAGAAACATGTGATCTGCCCATTAAGCACAAGGCCACTGTTTCCCCAGCCTGTCGGCTGCCCCTGGGGGTGGTACGCTCCTCAGCAGCAGCTTCTTAGAAATCAGGGACTTCAGGTGCTGCCATTCATACCGCAAAGTATCGGCAGAAATGTACCTGACGAACGTTTTAAGTTCAACTCCAGGGTTTTGATGAGGGCTGCTCAGAGGTCCTGGTCTGCCGCGGCCCTACGGCAGCCTAAATCAGCAGGGCGCCAGGCAGGGCCATTCCCTGTCACCTTGTAAGCTTTCTGTGTAACAGATGCACACCCTAATGACATCATAAGAACAGCAGCATGGATTAATTACGCACATCACAAGTGAGATGCAGCATTCTGCTATTTCAAGGATGTATTTTATATCTATATATATAAATATATGCAACAATTTGAACTTGCTCCACGGAAGATAACACCTGCTGGTTTTGCCCAATGAAAGACTGTGGAATTCTGAACTTAATGTATAATATAACCTTTATTCTTTTTCCTCTAAACTCTTGGAAACTTACATAACAATCGTGCTTTAATTATGACACCATTTATAGACATTTAAAATGCATCTTAATTTATAAATATTTTACATTTGGTCCATAGAACAGGTTGCAATTTACTAAATAATACTGTACTCTTTTAAACAGGCTCTGTATATATTTTTGAATATGTATATATTACATATATATTTTTATATAGAGATAGATTTGCTTGGTGTTCAGATATTTCCTTATTGCAAAAAGCATATATGATCATACAATAATCTTTTTTTTTTCAGGGCAAGTACTACAAAAAAGATACAGCTATTCACAGTTTACACACAGTAGTTCTACAACACTATTTTGTGCTATATGATACGTTTGTACAGCTTTTTGCTAAAGAGCAGGTCTGTCAAACATCTGTCATAATTGTTTACAATCAAACATTAAATACTGCATTTTTCTTAGAACAACATGGGACTTGATTACATTAAACAATAAAGAGAAAGTTGGAATTTTTATCCTTAGTCTAATGAAATTCACAAGTATAATGCGCATGTATCATGTATAATGTGGGTGTACGATGTACGGGTTTCCTCTAAATCCGAAAGACTTACAGGACTTTTGCATTTCAGCTATAGCTGCTTAGGATGTAGCTTAGATCTTGTAATATTTTACAGTTGATCTATGTATGAAACGGTTTAGAATCTACCAAACATACTCGGAGATTTTATGATGTAGTTTGAAATACATGTGTATAATATATATATATTATTTCTACAATAATGTGCTTGACATTCTGAGAATAATACCTTATTGCAAGAACATGTTTGTCACCTTCAGACGAAAACAACGAAAAACCCAACATTCACAGTTAACATGTTTTTCACGTAGTAGTTCTACATAAATTGTGCTATCTAACATTGTACGTTGCACAAAAATTTGCTGAAAAGCATGTTTCATTGCACAGTTCTGTCACAGTCATTTACAATCAAACATCAGCTACTGCATTTTCCGTGATCCTTTGTGTCTGTCATATAGCTGCCAAACGAGAAATACTGGACGGGGCTGACGGCTGCATATTCCACACAGGGAAAAGTGCCGGGGGCTGAAGGGCCTTTCTGGCCGTGTGGCAAATGCAGACCGAGCCCAGAGTGGAGATTCTTGGAGCATCAAATAGCTTCCCTTCACGCCTTCATCACCACAAGCAATACGTAAAGAAGGACGAAACGGTTTTCAAAGTGCTAACGATCCGTATTTTTGTAATTTGCTTAACAGCAGCTAGGTCTTTGAACAGTTTAAAAAGACCGGTTGGGAATTAAACCCTAAATTAGAACTACGAGCAGAAGCTTCAATCTTTAAGCCATTGTTTTGGTTTCTATCTTGGTAGCAATGCAATAATAGTAGAATAGATAACAGCAGTATAAAAGCTCAAGTACACTGAGCCTGAATTGCAAATACGTTGTGTTTCTTTTTCTTCTGGGAATCTTTAAGAGCTCTTGGATATTACTTCTCATTTTGCTAAAAAAGTAAAAATTTTTGCCTCTAACAGGTGTGATTCACATCATATTGATTGGCAAAGATACGTTCTTTTAATAAGAAACAGTGTATGTATCTTTAAGGAAATTTATGTTCTCATTGGAAAAATTACCCTGAAAGGCTGAGTGCCGAGAGCGTTTCCAGCCACTCTGTGCTGTGCTGCCACAGACAGCCACAGACCTTAATTTGCACTCGGAATATTTATGTAAAGGCTGTGTCTACTGTTAGCTGAAGGAAGACTTCCCTCGCAAATGGCCTTGACTGAAACAAATTTTAAGGGCAGTTTTTTTCACTGGGTATCACTTGTTTACAAAATACTTCATTCTTTTTTACAAAACAATTCCAAACTTAATTTTACTCCTGCAAAGTCAGAAATAACAGTCTTGGGATTCAGCGGTAAGAAACATTGATAAACTACTAAAAATCAGCAGCACAAAACTTCAAATAGTCGTGCTAAAAGGTAGATTAAAAAGGTCCTGGCACATCAATTTACAAATTCCAAGATACGCAACTATTGTTGTGAAAGGATAAAAACATTAACAGTCTGTGGATTGCCAGAGAACACAAAACACTGTCAACATCTGAGCTCACGCAGTGGTTGGATCATACCCATGGCGATTCTCTTATCGTGGAGATGACCTTTGTTCTTTTTTTTTTTCTTTTTTTTTTTGCCACTAGAGGTAGGTAATTATATTCTCAGACATAAATTTGTGGTCATATTCAACCATATTTTTTGTTTTTCTGGAGTAGTGTTGGTATTTTAACAACACGGAAGTTTAGATGTAGGCTTCTTTGTTTGCAGAGTTGCTCTGTTGGGCTTGGTCTGGCCCATTTTCAGGGTGAGTGATGTCTTCACTCGGTTGAATCATTACTTGGATGCGCTGTTAAAAAAAAATAACAATAAATGTGAGGCAATAAAACCCCCCTGTTCATAAGCTCAGGTTTATGTTTTAGGTTGGTTTTCTTTTTTTTTTTTTATTTTTTTTTGAGGCAGTCCTAAACTCTTCTGTCTAGGCATTAGAGGTAAAAAAAAAAAAAAATTCTACCTCCCAAGGGAGCAAGAAGGCACTAAGTCACATGCAATAAAACCCGTTCTAACTGTGTTCTGAACATGACAGTAGGAGCAGAAAGAGCACATGCAGATTGGTAGCTGCCACCCAGCATTAACAACTGAGCACACCTACGGAAAAGAAATAAGGCAGGACTGCAGCGTGGGGGAGATGAGGAGAGGCTCTGCTGCGAGCCCACAGGTCAAGCACAGGGGCTGCAAGTTTCACAGAATCACAGAATGTCAGGGGTTGGAAGGGACCTCAAAAGATCATCTAGTCCAGCCTCCCCCTGCCAGAGCAGGATCACCTACAGTAGGTCACACAGGAACGCGTCCAGGCGGGTTTTGAAAGTCTCCAGAGAAGGAGACTCCACAACCTCCCTGGGCAGCCTGTGCCAGGGCTCTGTCACCCTCACAGTGAAAAATTTTTTTCTAATATTTTTGTGGAAAGTCCTATGTTCCAGCTTGTACCCGTTGCTCCCTGTCCTCTCATTGGACGTCGCTGAAAAGAGCCTGGCTCCATCCTCCTGACACTCCCCCTTGACGTATTTATAAACAGTTATGAGAGCATCCCTCAGCCTCCTCTTCTCCAGGCTAAAGACACCCAGCTCCTTCAGCCTTTACAGTTTGCAGCAGGGACTCAAAGCTGTATCTCAATCACTGGTTTGAGTAGGAAGGGACCTTAAAGACCATCTCATTCCAATCCCCTCCCCATGGGCAGGGACACCTCCCACCAGAGCAGGTTGCTCACACCTGATGATGACCTGCCCAGGGAGCAGAGGGGACTGCAGAGGATTGGCTGCAACTGCTGGGATTCAGCAGGTATACCAGATTTTTATTTAAGATTGGTTTATTTCTGCTCTGTCTTTCCTAGGCCTTTTGTGTTCTCTGTTCATGGAGCTGATCGGCCTAACTCACATTCATGTGGAGTTTGAGAGCCCAGTTTTGGCTGCCAGAACCTGTGAGTGGTGTAGGCTCCTGTTATCTAATGGTAATTTCACAATACCCTCAAAAATGAGACCTTAATGCAGCGCAAGGCTGAGATGAAGAACTTAACACAAATCTGCCCAGGAAGGAGCTAGATTCTAGAGCAACAATTCTCCCATTTGCACATATATGTTCCCATATGAACAAGGGAAAGATAACTCAAAACATGGGAGCTAAGAACAAGGAGGATAAAAAAAAAAATCACTCAGTTTTTCTGTAGACTTTTTTGAAACATCACTGAGTTGTTTCAAATTTGCTGAAGACAAATATTTGGTTCAAGATCTGAGCAATTCATGAGACATTACTTGTCAATTCTGCTTAAGATCATCTGTCCCTTTGCAAAGATGGCTCTGTCAGCTGATGTTAGAATATTCCAGGAATTTTGACAGATTCCTTTTGACAGTCTCTGGTTCCCACAACCACAGAGGACAGAGATGTGTTTCAGTACTTGTGATGAAGAGGTATCTGTTATGCATGGGAGGAGGTTATTGGCCGGAGACGGAAAACGAAGGATGCACCCAGGTTAGGAAAAAACGAAGTATGGCAATGGCACGGGATTATTACACAGTGCACTGGTCACTGACCTTATTAACATTTCACGCTCCTTCAGCAGCCTTTCTCTGAGAACCTTAAAATAGATTTAAGCCCTGCAATGCCTCTCTCACACGAGAAGTGTCACCTCCTTTTAACAACTGGAATGTGGAATCAGGGAGAGGCTAAGAGCACGGTGCAATGAGTAAGAAGGCCTCTGATGTTTTTCATGAAGTAACTGTTCACTGAAATCCTGTTAAAAAACACTAAAGGGAAGTGCAGCATAATCATAAAATATACTCCCAAGCTTTTACATGTATTTTCTCTCAGCTGCAGCAGAAGAAGGCAGCTTGTAAAGGTGTAATGCAGAGCAGGAGCTCAAATCTTTGAGCACATGGCAGGCAGATGTTCCATAGGGATCACTGGGAGCAGACACCAAGAGTTACGTGGGTTTAGTCCTAAGAGTTTGATTCCAATTCCTTAGAGCATCACCTGCCTTGATAAATGACAGTACGTCTCGTGTTAATAAGGACTCATTTACATATTTTGTAAACTGCCACTTTTTTTTCTAGGTATAAGGAGGTGGGATGCAAAGTGTCTGGAACTGGCAAGGCCCAGAGACAAGGGTTGCATTGAATGTGGTGCATTATGTTTAACAGCAGATGGTACAGATACTTTTGTCTGTCCAGTACTTGGTTTTTATATTTTTCAGCTTGATGCAGAATAACTGGGCAGCAGTCTTTTATCAGTGTGTGCAGGTGTTGCAAGATGAAATCACACAGTCAGGAAAAAGAGTGACTTACCTGTTTTAAGGAGCCTTTCAGGGTTAGAAACATGTACGCCATATAGCCTGGTATCAGCACCATAGAAGACAAAGCCATGAACCAGCCAACCCCTTGGCCCCATTTTGGGAAAACGTAACTTCCCATCGTGAGCGGAGTCATTTGGACAGCACTGAAGATAAATACTCCCTGCAAAATACATCGGAAAAGAAGAATCGGATGAGATTTCCAGAGCGTTTGTTGTTCAAAGGTTTCTCTGGACTGACTTGCACCTCAAGCCTGCCTTTACATCAAGGCAAGGAGAAAAAGGTTCCTTTTGGCCCCCTAGCTTGTACGGGGGTCCTGCAGGGCAGTCTTCCAGGCAGAGGTTGCAGAAAAGAGGCAAATGTCAGCCCAAGGCACTGGCTGGTTCCCTGCTAGCTTAACCTCCACTGTGGGAATGTGCAAAAACCAGAACTGTAATTCTGAAACTGTGACGTTGTTTGTTTGTTCCCCTAACTTTCTGACTGGAATAACAGCATCAGTACAGCTCTGCTTACTGGTCAGCCACAGGCTCCTAGAGGCTCTGAATGAGAAATGCTCTTTAAAGTCTGGCTCTGCCCTGAGCTCTCTAATGTCACCACCTCAGAGTGCTTGGCCCAGAGGCTTTGATATTGTTCACATCCTCTGAACAAATTTGTAATGGAAAACAAGGGCAGTCAAAACCTGCCTTGTAAGTGGCTACGGATTGTTCAGTGTAACAGATCTTATGCTATGAAATTCAAAAACCACTTCAAATTTTTCAATAACAAGAGATGAGGGGATAGTTTTGCAAGAAGCTTCTTACCAAAATTAAGGTTTCAAATTAACACTATATTTTCACATACATAACCTGCATCTCAGATTATCCAGGTATGCTGGTATGGAGAAGCCGTGAGTACTAGTAGAGTCCTCAGATAACCTGCACCAGATCAGAGGGCAGGGGGCTCTTGGGAAAGATGAGGGTCCTGGGAAAAAACACCTGCACACATGTGTGTCCCCTACCACTGATCAGCAGCACTTGGGGGTTGCTTTTGTGTTGTTTTCAAACAGATGACCTGCAAACATGGTATTTTTGCCTCTAAGTGCCCAGGGAAGGCTCCTATCCTGGCCTGTCTGAAATGTCTAAACCAGCCTGCACCAGTGAAACCTGTGCAACTGAGCCAGCAAAGCCAGCTCGCCCTGATCCCGGGATCAGGCCTTGTGCAGAGAGGAGAAGGCAGAGGGGTGGATCCTGTTAGCACATCGTCACCACCTCTGAACTTGGGCTGGACAACAAATCCTGCTGA